AGCAGGAGGCTCCCTAGTGCTCTCCAGCAGGGTGCTCTCCAGCAGGAGGCTCTCTCGTGCTCTCCAGCAGGGTGCACAATCTTGCGCTCTTCAGCAGGGTGGTCTCCAGTACTCTCCGGCCAGTGCTCTCCAGCAGAGTCCCTCCAGTACTCTCCAGTCAGTGCTCTCCAGCAGAGTGCTCTCTGGTGCAGGTGCACTCCAGAATGTTGATCTCCGGTGCTCTCTGGCGCTCTCCGGCAGGGGTGCTCTCCGATGCTCTCCACCCGCCATAACAGGAAGGCGCTCTCCAGCAGTGTTTTCTTCAGGGGGCAGTCTCCACACTCTAGCAGCACACCCTCCGGCAAGTGTCACTGCTTGAACAAACGGCAAACATATTTCTATGTTTCGGGGGGAAAATGTTCAGACTAAATCTCGGACAAATACGAGCGCAAAAATTCATGACTTCGTGCAAATAAAAGCAGAAAGTGTTCAAATCAACGCAGAAATCTGTGAAGTACAAGAATTTGATTGTTACAAATCAAAGATCGGGACAAATCCAGATATTAGTGTGCAATTAGATACAAAAACATCCGATACGCAAGAAGACAATTCCTTTTGTGCGGTGCTGCGCGGGCGAGTGGTCGTCGAGTGACGGACGAAGGAGAGAGCCGGAGATCCTTTTCATGCGAAACAACTTCGGTCTGGAGGGAGAGGTGGAAAGTTCTCCGCCCGACTCTGTCGAGGCTCAAGACCCCTCCAAAGAGTGGAGCTCCAAGCGATGCGATCCGTAGCGAGGCGTAATTAGAAAATGGTCCCTTATTGTTACACCTTCGCCCCTATTGTCCAAGTTTATGGCTCTCGTCGGTTATTCCTTCTTAGCGCCTTTCTTCTCCCCCCATCCCTCACTCTCTTACTCTCTTTCTCTCTGCCTTGTATTCCTTTCGCTTTTCCCTCCCTTTTCTCTATCTTTTACAAGCGTCAGGGTCGAGTTATTGGAAGGAGAAAAAAAAAATAAAGAAAAAAATGATTGCTGAAGGCAAGCGCGTTTCTCAACGGCTTCTTCGGCGCCCGCCAAGCCGGCGCCACACATGGCGGCCTGCCACGCCCCGCCACGCCCCGCCACGCCCTGGGCGCTAGCTTGGCGCCAGGCGGTCGCGGCGGCGCCACGGGGCCGGGGTGGGGGTCAACCC